ATGCGTGGGTCGTCCTTCGTGGGGCAGTGAGCAGGTCTCAGTAAATGAGTGTAGCAGAGGCACTGAGGGTATATCGAATTGCACTCCGTGAGAAAGAATGCTCCCTAAGGTCATAAATCAGAGATGGGGCAGAATTTCGCGCCTTTCTGCAGCTCAGCAGGCCTGTTTACACTGACGTAAGTGGCACTCAACAGACTGCCACTAATGCCCAGCCTGTCATTCACACACACGCAGTCTTCTCATTTATGCTAAAAGAAATGAAAGCGTGTAATATAAAAACAAGATATTCTGCCCTAAATCTTGTTTCACTGAGCCAAATTTGCCAGCACAAAAATCCAATCTAAATGAGGCTCATTCAACTAAACCTAAAATCTCATCTGTTTTATTCATTTGAGTCTATTTTAATTGCACCACTGTATTTAGTATTAACACCCCAATGGTGCATCCAATCCAACACACAACCTCTTTGAAAGCAGAGGGCTCTCGCTTGACTCAACAGTTTTATTGTCCTTCACTAAAGTAATAAATTATTCCTCAACAAATCCCTGCAGGTAAAATAAATATAATAAACTGGGAATAAATATCAGCAGAAGGGCTCTGTTTTGGATCACTCTGAAAGGACAACCAACTCGGAAAAACAAGATGTGGACTATAAATTTAAAGACAATTTCCTTGGAAGACCTACCAAAATGAGGACCCCCACAAAAAAAACACAAGCAAGGTGTCCAGCAAATAATTCACGACGGCACGTGTGAGCATTTGTCAACTGCATAGAGACAGACACCAATAACTTTTTTGGCCTGTTAACTGCCCTCATGTTGGTAGGTCTTAGAAAAATAAACATTAGAGGCACAGTATTTGGCAATTTTAAATGTGACATTAATGCAAAATTAGTAACCTAATAGAAACAAAACTTGCTCAGTCTAATCTTTATGCAAATCATGACTGAAACAAAATACTGAATAAACCTTGATTGGCCGACTTTTTTAGTAAAGAGCAGAAAGCAAATAAATGAGTGATAAGAAGCGGCTTTGAGTGTGTTTGTGTGTCTAAGTGTGTGTGCGTGCTTATGGGAGTTCCTGTGTGTAAGAGGCTTAAGTGTGTTCCTGTAAACAAACGTGCAGCACTGGTCAAGAGAACCTGTGTGGCCAACTTACGTAGAGCCTGTAAGGATCATGCTCTAATTTGTACAGTAACAGAAAACAACATCTTGACCAACTTAAAACTTTAGAACAACCATTTCACTGTAAAGTTCTCCATTTTACAAATAACACAGGCAAAACTAAGCTTTCCCTCTTGAAATGCTGCTTGTTCTGCATTTGTGAATATGTGGTTTCTTAAAAATAAAAAAAAAATTTAAAAAAAATAAAAAAATCTGTCCTCCTGCTTTTAAACAGGATGTTGGAGATATTATGTGGTGTTTGATTTCTTCCTCTTCACCTTCAATCAGCCCAGTGACACTTCCTTCTCCAGCCCCAGCATTATCTGCTCACAACAGGAAATCATGACTCCTTAAAACCCATCCTGGACTAATCTCAGTGAGAACCCAAACAATGAGAGGTAATCTTCAAAAATAAGCATCATTTTGATCTTTTCAGAAACAATCTTGTCCTTCTCTCTTAGTGCTTTATCAATAACTTAATTCAAATGTTGCACTTTTAAATATTTTCCACATGTTTATGTTTTAATATGTGTATTTAAAAAGTTATATATAACAGTGTTACATTATACTATGGAGTATCCGTATGTGGATTTGTATTGAGATGTGTTGCTCAGCATTATGTAGTGGCCTGTATTGCTGAACAATTTGGGTAAAATATGCTATTGCAATTTTTCAAACAGACATTGTCATTGCAATGTAATTTGTGATATTATTTGATAGAGTGAAGCTTTAGTTCAATATTCACTGTGTATGAGTATTAAAACATGATTTGGAGCAATACCACATGAGATACATCATCAAAGGCATGACTGTCACACAAGGAAGATGGCATGAATTTGCAAAACCACTAAACATTAGTTTGAATCCTGGGTGAGATGAGCTGCCTGATGCATATTCTAGATTGCAGCCTTTGCACTTTGCTAATTGCAATGTTTCAAATTGTGATTTCTCTTTTAAATTATTTAATTGTTTTGTGAAGCTTTAGAAAAATGAATCCAGCAGCAGCCAAAGACCTTGAAGAACTGAGAGCCTGTAGACACAGAGGAGCTGAGAAGACTCTTATCCACAGCTTTCCGATCCCCACCATCAAGTTATCCCAGTGGGGTTTTCCTGATAACACAGTCTTGATGATAACAGTAGCCCAGGACTTGCACTACTCTGGACCATGCTAACACCATAAGCTACCTCATTACTCCACTGGCTACTGGACTATCACAAGTCCATCACCAGCCCAGTGGCACCTAACCAGCTACAAAGTCCCAGTTATCACCACTGTCTTGAAGCCAACAAGGCAATCACCACAGACTGCTGTCTACAGGAGCCAGATCCTCCATTTGGTATACTGCAAAGAGAGGACAGTATTTTGTCCAGAAACTTCTCAAAAGCATTAAAATAGAATCAGAATCAGGTTTAGTGCCAGGTATAGTTTGCACAATACAAGGAATTTATTCTGGTGGGTTTGGTGCAAACATAGAAGATGCAAAGATAAATATAAAATGCACGTATAAATATGTTCATGAGCTCTACTCTGGTATAAAAGGTCCCAGAATACTGACTAATTACTGAATTAACTAAGAAAACAAGACAAAACAGTGCACACCAACACACCGTAGCAGCCATCTGCGGCGCCATGTTTGTTTTCAGAGCCTATGCTTTAAAAAGATTATGAAAACAATAGTCAGTCTAGTTGCATTAATAATTATTTGATTAAAGGACTACAGTGTCAGTACATTACTAGACTATGTAGTTTACAAAAAATATATATTTATTAGTTATGGTAGTTACATATATATACTATATATGTATTGTCATTTTCACCAATTACTGACAGACCATCCAATCTCTCCCAGTGACGGACTGAGGGTTAAAATGGGGAGCTGCAGATAAAAAAGGCAGCGTAAACAGGTCTGAACTAAAGATCAGTCACTTTTGCTGATTGACAGTGATCAGTAAAGAGTATTTAAATGTCAATATTCAAATCAGATTCCCAATCAGCACAAAATTATACTATTACTATTCTAACCAAGACATCACATCATTTCCCTAAAATGCTGTTGTCATGCTACTTTAGATTTCTAAAAACATAATGAAACTCACAGTAATAGTAAAAGCAATGACTGAAGTGGCTGGTGCAGTGGCAACATTCATTTTGCAGATAATGGAGAGGGGTAGCACGTTTGTTTTTCAGTTTGCTAGAGTGTTTAGGGGAGGGGTGGATGAGTGAGTATGTTTGTGGGTTTTAGAAATACCACTTCAGATTTGTATACTTGAAGTTTGTCTGCAAAGCACGTAACATACAGCTTTTACTCTGCAGTCTGTCTACTGAATCCAAGTTTTGTATGACCCTTTCTTTCAAAATAAAATGTACAGGTCAAACGGGATCAAAATCACTCCACAAGGACAAACTATTACCAAAAAAAGTGTAATATTTTTGAAAATAGTTTTTCTTTGAAAAAGCAGTGCTTTCTATATATTTAGTACAGTGGCTCCATATCATTTCTCAGAATAAATCGTTTTCAACTAAGCATTAAAAGTGTGAATTCTCAGCAAATATATCTTGCAAAAATATTGTGATGGCCAGAGGTAAGTATGCAGTCAAATCAGCTGGCAGATTTAACACTTAAAAGGTTTCCAGAAGGAGCTTCAGATTTCCAAAGCTGCAGCTTCAATGCAAGTTGTTGAAATTTTTGTTTTTCAAAGGCGAGCCACGGTAACACTTTCAAGCTAATGTTTGCGAAAGCACTGAAAGCCTTCTCATTGCTCTATTGATGTGTCACGCTTGTTTGTGAAAGCAAGTGTGATTTTCCACCTCCTTCTGTATGTGTGTCTTTCTAAAGCCTTCAAAAGTTTTAATCATGATAAATGAGTTCCCAACAGCACCTGGAAGCATCAGCAAGCAAAACTTTTCAATATAGTCCTTGTTTTCAACTGTAACACCACACAACAACATCTCCAACAAAAATAAACAGCCATGGTAGCACAGTCATTTAAGCAACTTTAAGTTTTTGCACATTAATATAATCTACTATAATTAATGGTGCCTGAAACAAATGCTTTATTTTAAAAACAGAAAGCCTGTTTTATCATCTTTAAGTTCATTCAACTGTTTGACTTGTATTTTGGACAGCAAGACTTGTGCGAGTGAGGGGCTGAAAGCTGACACACGTAACGAGTGATTAACATATTCATTCAACATTTAGCAACGTAGCACCACTCCATGTATAAGAAAGCTGGCACATAGTTGTTTAATCCTCAGTTGCTATCAGCTTAAGCTTTTATCATCTTTGTAGGAATTAAAGAGGGGATAGATTTATGAAAAAAGAAAGGAAATTTGAACACTGAGAAATTCAACTGTAAGACTGCTCATGCAACGTAGCATTATGTTTCCTTGCTGGGCTTGAATATCAGCATCTACATACACATGTATTTGCACATATGGGTAAATAGTGAGAACTTGCATGTGTATGTGCATATGCATATTAAACCATACTGTAGCATGCCTGTATGTGTGTGACTTTGTCTCTGGGTATATATGTACACACACTCAGACCACATATTTTTCCCATATTTCATTTGTGTAGCAGGGTAATTAGGGTCAAAATGAGAGTTAGGGAATGAGTCATGTTTGCAAAATATACTCAGAGACCATTCAAATTAATAGTTTCGCTGCAATACTTGAATAGATGAATTCAAATAATTGCTATAATTGAAAAGAACGTATTAATAAAGAACTGTTGCTCTAAGCTACAAAAAAAATATGATTTTGCCACTAAAATGATTCCATTTTTACAGTGTGGACAAAAAATTACAACTTAAGTATTAACATTTTGCACCTCACCTGGTTCCTCCAAAGAGGATGATTCGATCCCCAACCATACAACAGCACTGTCGTCTCCGTGGGCATGGACCTTTCCCCTTTGGCTCTACTTTCTTCCAGGAGAAGGCTTCTGTAGTGTGGACAAACAAGACAAGAATACAATGATGGAATATAAAGACAATAGATGTAGAGAAAACAGTCTGACTTCTTTCAAAATTGACAATTTCAGTAAAACTTCAGATTACATCCCTCCTTGAAAAAGCTTAAGAAAGCACAGCCAGTGCTGATTTGTGTGAGCTACATTATAGCGCCTATACAAATGTCCAAACACTTAAAGTTACATAAAGCCAGTAGTGCTTTCCATTGTGCTCGCAGTACATTCAGTTGCCTGCTATATTCAATCACACAGACCAGGGACAAGGGAACGAAAAGGAGCAAAACAACAACAAAACCCAACCTTCATTTGAATACAAAACTTTACACTTCAGAAATAGAAACAAATCCCCTTTTGTGCTCTGGAGTGCAATGAGTGACGATGTTGAAGGTCTCTCGTTTGTTCCATATAAGGATGAACTGTGTAGCCTCACACTCTCAGACCTAAACAGCATCACTGCATCTCTATAGCAACAGGCCATTCAGGCTCGGTTGGATGATATTACTATAACTGAGGTGCTGCCATCTAGTGGCCTGCAGAGCACAGGTTTATATGGTCAACTGCAGATGTCAGGTTCACTCAGCATAAGCCACTTTAGAAACAAAAGATCACAGCCACTGCTTCGTAAATACCAACTCCTCGGATTGACTAGAAACTGAAACGACCAGTAGAGTCAGACTTACTATCAAGACTGTCATTCTGTATATGCCATGCTAACTTATGCCATGACCTCATAGTATTAATTTTCTACCTCAGATATGTGTAAGTGTCACAGTGCACAAATGCTGCCAACAGTTTCCTCCAGCAATGACTATCATAGAAACAGACAGGAGCTGGGACAAGGTAAACTATTGCACAAGACTTCAAGGTAAACTATAGCACTAGACTGCATTCATAAGTGTCATTTCTTTCATAACACAGAAGTAATCATAATATGAATGAAGTTGACAAATGGTGCCATTTTAACAGAATGTACCACACAATGTTGACAATGATTATACCCCCCGGCATGTTCCTTCTGCTCTGACAGCAACGTACTAGTTGGAACAACAGCAAAAGGTTTCTCCAAGAAAACACTTAAACTGACTAGAGAGTCAATCTGGTAACATTTGTAAGCACTCCGGAGACTGAATTACAGTCAGTTTTTCATCTGTGTGTTTCTGGCAAAAAAGAGAGGGCATCTGTGTTTCCCACTCAGCATAGTGAATAGGGAGCAGCCAGCTACTATTACGAGACTGACAATGATGCAGTAGAGGAGGAGAGGTTTGTCTGCATGGCTCTTTACAGAAGAATGAGGAGGAAAGTGGGTCAATGCAAGCTAGCCCTGCCACTGCTGCATTTCTTGTATAGAGGTAAACACTCATCAAGCAGGAATTCCAAAAATAAAATTGAGCAAGAAAACACTATCAGACACAAGCGGCAGCGCTTCACCGCGACATGACACGTTTACTCGGTTTGACTGCAGTAAATAGTCAAATCACCTGGATTGAATTTCCAGAGGTCGTTGAAGTGTCGGTCCAGACGAGCATTGTATCCTCCAAATATGTACAGCTCTCCGTTGTAGGAAACTTAACACAGAGAGGAAAACAAAAAGTTGCCATTCGTTATAGTCCATCGTAAAGATAAATTACATTTGCAGGTTAGTAAATGAAACAGCAGTTTAATTAGTAGAATTTGTTAAATCTGACAAGTGGACAAAAAAATATGCTGTTGCAGTAACAATTTAAAAAAACAGCCCAAGCTTAAAAACGAATTGGAGAAAAAGCACAAATGACAGAATTTCAAGTTCTTCCACTTAATAAAGATAATCATATGTTAGTTTAATGACAAGAGTCAGATCATTATTCTTACTAAGTTAAAAAGATAAAAAATTTCCAAACGCAATTTCTTTTCCAGAAATGTGTACATTCTTGACACTGCATCTTACCGTGACAAAACTCTCATACAGCTGTACTGCAGCTCAAACTTCTCATTTTAAACTAAAATACAATCAAAATATCTAAAAGTTATGATTTCTGTTTTGTTAATCAGTGATTTATGTGAGTGTTTTTATGTCTTACAGGCTGAGTGACTCCGGCGTCCCTCTGGCAATGGCTGTGTTGAAGGCGTGCTCAGCCAGCAGTTGGTCTCTGTGTCAAACACTTTGATCTTGTTGCAGTAGATCTCGTTGTTGGAGTGGAAGGGACCGAAGCGGTCTGCCCGCCCTCCAAATACAAACATTTTTGTCCCAATTATGGTGGCTGAGTGAAAATCTCTCCAGCGTGCTGGAGTACCCTGTGAAGAGAAGATCATGAAATGATGCTGTTGACAGTTTGACACAAAGTCTGAGCAGAGACAGAACATAAAGCAGTCTACTTAGGACAGATAGCAACTTTGCTGGATGTAACCTATGCATTTTTAACTTATTTGAAGTTAAAATTCTCCCATTTCTTCAAACTTTCAAAGGTTATCATAAGCTTTCGTATAAAACTCTATCTTCCCCCTGAGAAGGACAAAGCAACAATAGGTAAACAGCACCATCTAGTGCACCAACTACAGAGCACCGCCAGCCTTTCAAAAATACACAACAGGACATGGATATAAATATTACACAGAATTGAATGATAAACAGTCTTAAAATTCTAATTTAGCTGTTGCTGGTTACTAGAAAACCACAAATAAAAGAAGAAGAAGCATGGAATATTGAAATGCAATCTGCTACCACTGAATGAAACTGTGCCTCCATTGCCTTTGCATTTAGCTGGCCTATAGCCACGATAAAGCCTTTCACGCGCCTTCCTTTCCAGAATGCACTGTCATTGCTTTCAATGAATTTGATGCAGACAAGTCGGTTCTTTAACTAGCATTACAAACAGAATAAAAGAAGAAAAACAATACAATATATACTAACAAATATAAACAGGCTTTGTGAATTACAAACGCAACTAATGAAATTCAATAGAAATACCACAGAAAATTAATTTTGTTTAGAAGCAGAGCAAGTAGCTTTGCTTACCAAAAGGAATGCAAGTCAAAGAACATGTACAAAAAGAAAAAAAGGTATTATTCTGTCACATGTACCGCTAAATCTGTGCGCACCACCATGTAATCTTCTTGATAACAAAATGTTATCAGTTTGGAACTAAAACTAGGTAGAAAGACTTCATCCACAAATCCCTAGTAAACCCTATCCCATCGACTAATGTCTATGTTGAAACGTATTTGACAAAGGAGCAGGTTGGCTGCACACACACACACACACACACACACACACACACACACACACAAATGCAATTTTCCAAAAGGGGAGCGTATATAATCCTCTGTGAGGCTTTTTGTACTTGGCCACCTACCAGGGAGCTGCATTACATTGCAGTGCCTTTGTAACCAGCCAATCTGACCATTGGGCACTCATGTAGCAGCACTGCCAACCCCAGCAATAACCGAGGGTTTGTTTATTTCCAGCTGTGTTCTGAATGTAACTGAGCAAGTTCCCACTCCATTTTATCATTGTGTTCTATGAGTGAGAGTTTTGTGTCAACATTTACTTGGACCTCTACTTTGAACATTGAATGCAAGACATCCTCAGTACAGGAATAACTTAAAAAAACAACAACATCTAAACAGTTTTGAAAATAACAACTGGTGATTTTAACTTACTCTGGCATTAATTAATGACCAAACCATGGTGGTGGTATCCAGCTTGTGAATGTCATTGGAGAAGCAGTCAGCCTAAAAACCAGCAGAGGAAACTAATTAAACTTTAATGTTCAGAGAGTAGGTTGCACAGCAAAGAGTGATGAAAACTCACCAGCTGCTCATATCCTCCAAATATATACATTGCCTTCCCCAGGACGCAGGCTGAGTGGCCGTCCCTCGCCCCTGGAACAGTCCCGGAAATCTTGGGTGTGAACCATCTGTGGGTATCTATGAAGCAGAAAAAAATACTGAGATAACACTTGAGGCACATGCAATGGAAAACCATCACCCATATGCAGGTGCTACAGCGACCCAAGATTAAAAACGTTTTCTCTGATCAAGCTTTACTTCAAACAGGTGCATGTGAAAGGAAACAGCCTGAAACTGTCACTTCACGGCATAAGTTAGATGAGGGTCTACTTACTGACATCAAAGGCATAAAGCACATTGCAGGCCCCCTCTGTGTCGTTACGCCCACCCCAGAGGTAGATAGTATCATCCAACAGCACAGCTGTATGGCCATAACGCATATATGGCACTTCACGGACACGTTCATGTCCTCCCGTCCTCACCGGAGGCAACTTCATCCAGCGCAATGACACTGACATGCAAAACAGTCAAGAAAGGGATATTAATTCAAAACTTTGTTGAAACTTTTATTCCTTTTTTATGTTTTATGAATAAAAAACACATATCAGAATGATTTTTCAGAATGAATAAGAAAATATTTTTCTGATGACATTTCTTTCAAATGAGCATCACTACAAAACAAATATAAACAAACAGTGACATACTGTGGTACAATAGCAACCTAGTTTTTCTGCCTAATTTTCAGTTCAAGGTACGTTTTTAAAATAAAAAAATGGTTAAACCTTTAGGAGATTCACATCCAAGACATTTAAATTGTGAAAGTTTCATTAAACTCTTACTGCCGTTTAAAATATCTACTTTTCTTTTAACCTGCTGTTTGAAATGTCAAAATGTAGCATAGAGTGAAACATCTGACTGAACTCTTTTTTGCCAGTAGGACTGAACAATCAGTCCATTTCAATTACAAATCACAATCTGAAACTATGCAATTAACAAAGTGCAAAGGTTGCAATATAGGATATACCTTATGCAGAACATTGGCCCAGGGTTCAAACAGTTCTCAACAATTTTACAAATTAATGCACTCTTCCTTGTATGACAGTCACACTTTTGATAGTATCTCATGTGGTGATACTCAGTCATGTTTTCAATCTATTACACAGTGAATATTGAACTGAAGCTTGATTATTTAAAATGAAATCCCAATGGCAGCATCTGTCAGACGAATCACAATAATCACTTGTCTGAAAAACAGACAAGTGAAGAAAAAAGACCCCCCCAAAAAAATCAAAGGACTGTTAACAGCAGCAGGCTTTGCTGTAAAATAGACATCAAAGAGAAGAAGCACAAAGCAAAATGAGAAGAAACAATAGTTAAGGTGGCGCCGTTTCCATTACAATCAGTCAAGGACTTGGTTCCACACTTGGTTCTTTTCATGATAGAGCAATAACAGGTGAGTTCAAGCTACTTTGAGAAGTTGTAAAACTCTAAAGCAGGTGGCTGACCACACAGAGGAAAAAAACTACATAAAGTGGGTTACCAGAAGGAAAAGGGAGCAGTTATATAAAAAACAAGAGCAGCACATTTAAGGAAAACACCTGTGTTTTTGAGAGAGCAACTGAAAACGCAAAGACAAATTTCAACAAACCACAAAGGAAAGCCTGGGGGTTTTAAATTCCAGCTGTAATGAGTAACTGCTAAAGAGGTGCAAGTTGAATAAACTCTGAAACATTCTCTTATCCTTACTTCCTAAATCGAAAAACAAATACTGCGCTGCTTCTTTACAGATAAAATGAAGGGCATTTAAGCAGAGCGACTTTTCCCCTACTTAATCATTTGAGTGCTAACAAAAACATGTAGTGGATGAATACACATTTAACAAATTTTACATCAGCATATTTTTCACTGACAGACTGCTCTTGAGGTCAAATTATATATATTTTTGATTTGCTAAAAGGGATGAATGACTGATCTCCCACAGAAGTTGCACAAAGTCCTACATAGATTGTTTCAGGAATGTCCACGTTTGTGAGAAGGTTTTCTACATTTCCCTAAATATAAATAATAACTACGTACCTGTGTTGAAGACGTGCACATCAATCTGACGGAGTGTCTCGTAGTCCTCCCCAGAGCAGTAGCCTCCGAAGGAGTACACCTTGTGACCCACCGCCACAGCAGCATGGTTGACTCTCCGCGGCCCTCCTTCTAGGTGCACCGACCAGCGCAACATTCCACGCGCAAGCACCTCTGTGACTGGGAGTCCTTAGACCATCACTTTGTCGCCCGCTTGGACCCCATCAAGCAAACACCATTGAAACCTGTGACCACAACAACAACAGCTGTAGCAGCAGTCTGCTTAGGAGAACAACAGGGCAAACTGTGGAGGGGCAGTCGAGGAAAACACAAAGGGTAACTGTCCTCCTGGCGAACTCAGCTCTGCTGTTGTTGACAGGCCCACAAGCCCCTGTATCTAAGCTGAGAGAGTATTTTAAGAGGTGATTAGACCTACACCTACCACTCCTCCTTTCTATTCACTGTTATCTCTGAACCCTCCCACTGCACTACCAATGCTTTAAATATACAATTACAATAATAAATATCCAACCCCTTTGGGCAGAACCATATCAGTAACAATGCTATCTCAATATCATCGCACTCAAATGGATTTGGCCATCTTTTAGCAATAGTAAACTAATTATAGGACACTGAGGAGCTATAAAGCAACTGTGTTTCTAATCTACTGAAAAGAGATCCATCTTGGCAGTTGGCGTTGCATGAGTGGATAGTCATGCAACGCCAACTGCTTGAATTGTTTGATGAAAACTAAGAACAACCAAAGCTCTGAAACTGTTAGTTCAACACCAGCTTGCAATTCAACAATATTTCAAGAAACAGTTTCCGATTTTAAATATTACAACCCATAAACAGACTAAATACAACAGAAATTAATTGGTTAATATTGGCTATCTGCTACTTCTCAAAGACAAGTGCCTCTCACTAACCCCATGTGGCCCTGCTGGCTTTTTATGTCTCAATGACTCACTTTCTCAGTGACCTCCAACCTTTGTTTGCTCTTAAAAATAAAACCCCCGGAAGACTATTTAACACAGACCTTTTCTATTTCAAGCCCACACATCTCTGGGGCCAGGACTGGGCAACAGGCAAATCTGAAACTTAACCCAACTTGAGCCACTGTTTTGTTGTCCACTTTATCATTTTTGGAGAGCATGCTGTTCAGACTACAAGGTAAACTCAACCCCTCACTGAAGGAAAACTGACTCCTTAATACATTTACAACGTCAAATCAATATTGCCTTACGTTTGCTTCAGTATATGTTCCCGAGAGAACCCCATCCTGTGTCTTTCGTTATTAGATTTAGAGGACAACGACATTTTTGTGAGAGCTGAGGTAGGTGGGAAGTAGCTCTTATCCCCCTAACCCACTGAACTGAAGGATATTGTTGATATCTGACAACTAGCCATGGCACTGACAACTTGGAAACGGTTTTGCAGAAAATAGCACTCTGTTAACAGACGGGAAAATCGATGTTTATCCATACTGCTGCACACATGTCGGCTGACCACGTCTGCTGGCTGCGCATACATTGTTGGTTGATAAAGCTAATGTAGACGTGGTGACATTGAGCTAGAAAACAGTTACTAGGGACCAGTTAACGCCTCACACACCAGCTAGCCGTGGTTAGCTAACTTTGTCAGGCAGGGGCAGCACACGCCTGTGAGGGACGAACCGCCGGTGCTGGCTTGTCTCTCAACAGCTAGTGTAACAACAACGACAGTGGAAGGAATAAAGCCTCTCTATCCAGCTGTTTGATAGCAAAGGAGGAGCTGGTGCGAGCTAGGCTAAAGCTAATCTGTGGCTAATTTAGCTGGTAGCTAGCTAACGTGAACTGCATAAAAACGACCGGCAACAGTGAACACAACGGCATTTAAGACCAACCCTGGAAAAGTTACGAATGGGTTCACTAACAGACAGCAATGTCGACAGATATATATTTTCTGTACCTTTAGGTCGAGTCAGCTTGTGGTTGACTGGTGTTTAGACAGGCAGGGCTATCCACTGAGAGCCCCTGCCCAGACGGAATAGGAGAAGAAGCCGGCGCTAGCACCCCCTGTCGGCTGTTGAAGCAACCCTGTGGTGTTTTTTCTTACTATTATTATTTTATTTTATTTTTTACCTAAACTCCCTTCAACAAGCATCAGCATATGCTCTTATAAAGGTAAGAGTCACGTCTACACATTGTTGTTGTCATTCCTACCATTAGTCCTGGTAAGTGTAAGCAGCATGGCCGGACTAACCTGTCAGGTGGCTCTGGGGACAAACTATGTTGTGAGCACCTGATCCCCACCTCCCCCCTTAAAGGGGAAATTAAGCACTCAGGCAAGTTAGCATCATTCACTACATATATTCCCACTGTATTTAGAAAGTGTATAACAAACAGGAAAAGCGTAAGCATATGCAAGGAAAAAGAAGATTGTTTTGTGTCTTCTCTACAGAGGACGCTGCCATCTTGGAGTACATTAAACGGTGACGTCATGTGGTTGGTTCGAGTCGCAGGTTTAGTTAAAGACACTGTGAAAGACAATAAAGACAGTCGCTGTGTCCGAAACCATCCATCCTACTCACTATGTAGGGACCACTACGTAGTGAACTATGAAGGGAGCACCTCGACAAAGTACCATTGCGGACTACTCAAGCTAGCATAGTGCAAACACATACAATTTTGAGTTTATTTCATAGCTAAGAAACGGGTAAAATGAAATTTAACAAAACATAAACGGGAAATTACTTGCATTTTAATGACAAGTTTTCGTGCTCTCATTTATCTAGTTTGCATTTCCTTTCACGCAATGCATGATGGTCCATATTGCTTGGTGAGTGGCCATCGCCTGTACACTACCTTTCATTGTGGGATATTTTAAGTGCGCCATATAGGGTGTAACATATCATTTGGACAGCACTACAGAATGGCGTGCACTATATAGGGTGTAGTGGGTGATTTCAGACACAGCCAGTAAGAGATGGAGAGGAGCCACAGATCATCAGAAGACAAAGGGAGGGCACTACTGCATTACTCCTGGATATAAGAATGAGTCTTGTAAAGTTATAGCCATAAAATAGTCCACTTTTATAACCTGCTGCTGAAACAGAGAACATTGCTGATGCTCTGCTAGTGGCACTGAAGAGAAAGAGCCTCGATGGGCTCTGATGCCAGGCTTTGTAGGGAACACTTTCTGGAGGACTGAGGAGAAGGTGGTGGAGCTAGTGGTTCACCAGATCAACAGACTAAAGCCTGACGCTGTCCGTGTTCAGTTTCACTGGCTAAAACGTTGCTCTGCTAACAGACCAACATACTCTGAAAACAGCCATACAGTCAATAAAGTTCAACAGAAAGCCTCTGAATGTGTCTTGCTGACACGTTTCACTCTGAACACCTGTTGTCCTCCAGCTGAAAGATTGTCATCATATCTTAGCAGCATCAGCGTTATCTAATGGGAGCCAGGCTACACAATATAGCAGCCAAAATGACAAACAAACAAAAACTTACATTCACGTCACATCCCAGTAATCAAGGTTTATCACTTATCTCATCATAATTACAACTGGGACAGTTGATTTTGTCTGAAAACTCCAATTTGTATATCCAAAAACTCGATTAGAGGATAAACCCTTTGATTTGATGTGTTTTTAATGGTCCTCAGGGAAAAAAAACATGGAAATGAACAAATATCCATCCATCCAGTATCTATACACCACTTAATCTTCACTAGGGTCGTGGGGGGCTGGAGTCTATCCCAGCTGACTTAGGGTGAAGGCAGGGGACACCCTGGACAGGTCACCAGTCTATCACAGGGCTACACTTAGAGACAGACAACCAAGCACACTCACATTCACACCTTCGGACAAATTAGAATCACCAATTAACCTCAACATGTTATTGGACTGTGGGAGGAAGCCAAAGAACCCGGAGAGAACCCACGCTGCACGGGGAGAACATGCAAACTCCACACAGAAAGATTCCGGTGCCCCACCGGGACGCAAGCCGGTAACCTTCTTGCTGTGAGGCAACAGTGCTAACCAACTGTGCCACCTTGCAGCCCAATTAACAAACATCTTAACAAAAATAAATAAATTCACAAATAATACTGATAATATTAACAAACAATCTAATTACAAACAACAACTATCATGATAACATCAACAAGGACATGAGGATTGGTGATAAAAACATGGAGGGGAAAAAAAGTACAGGACTTTTATTTTGAAAAAATGTTATAACGTTAGTAATTGATGCACCAGTTCATCATGCAGGAGTAGATCTTTTTCCTTTTCACTGTCAAAATATAAATTATGAACCCATATAACTACTGGATCTACTGCAGAAAACATAATTAGATCCATATATTGTACACTATATCTTGATTTGTTTGTCACCTGGTGCCTGAAGTAATAATTTTCCTTCACATGAATAGACATCTCCAGGATAAATTGATGCGGAAAAGGTGCCAGTTGTGCATAGTTTCACCAGAAGACAGGATATGAAGTGTTTGTCACTCAGATATCCTGGAGAAGACATCCAGACCATGCACCTATTGTGTCGTCCAAAATATTTAAATAAAACCTACATCCATGCACATAAGGACACTTCCACCATTTCAAACCATACTTACTAAATCTGTTACAGGTTATTATACAAGCAAAATAAATGAACAAACCACATAACATTATCTAAAAACATAATGGACAGCTGTGACATTGAAACCAAATGAACTCTCGATATGTCAATTAAGCATATCAGCACCACTTAAATCTCTCTGTACTTTGCAGGTACTGGAGTTTTAAATCTGGTTTCTGTTGTGACATTCCCATGCTGGCACATTAATAATGACATTTTACGCCAACCGGCAATGATTGGTTTGCGTTTCAGGAGAGGAGCAATGGACACAGAGAAGGCTACAGCTGTGGCTGCATATTAGCTACTGATAACTGGGAAAAGAATTAAACAAAAACTACCAGAGGAGGATTGGTGTTCTATGTGGGTAACACAACATTCATCAACAAGTTTAAAGAAGTGGAGAGAATTTTGTGGGAAACTCCCACATATTTTGCACATGTGGAAAAATTCCAGTATTTTGGATAATATGTGCGGAACATTGAGGAAGAGCCAGGGATTTGACATCTCTAAAGATATCAGGACATTTGGAGACATGAAAGAGGATGCTATTGAAAGCAATCCATATTTCATACTTTTATATAAGTTTAAATGTTTTTTATTTGTATTTTATTCATATATAGAAAAATAATATCCATGTATGTATAAATTTAAAAATGACTAAGTAACTAAATAACTAAACAACAACACACCCTCTCTGTAAACTGTCTGAACTGAACTTGAACGTTTCCAGAGCACTGAAGGAATGAACCTCCAGAGTGATCAACAGCTTCATTCCACAAGCTGTCAGAATGCTGAACTGCTGATCCGAATATGCACACAATTTCTTATTTAATTGTTTTTAGTTATTGGATCTTGAGGAAACACTCTTTCATCTTGCTTGTACCACTATTGCATGTACAGCAAAATGACAATGAACTTGATTTGATTTGATTTGAACTAACTAAATAAATTAACAAAATAACGGTGGCATGGCAGGGCAGTGTAGGCTCTGGGTACAAATCAGACTGGTTCCAGCCTCCAATGACCTACAGAGGATAAAGAAATGGATGGATTTTTATTAATAATCCTACAACTTTTACATGAGCTAAAATGTTTGTTTTTTTTTTATTCTTGTTATATACATAATTTATGCTATTAAAATCATTTATTTATTCATTCTATAGATACTGTATATATATATATATATATAAATAAAATACAATAAAATAACATTTAAACTTACATAAAAGTATTACATGTGGATTGTTGTCAATAACATCCTCTTTTATGTCTTATATCTTTAACCTCTTAAGACCTGGCATCCACATTCATGGAAATCAGTATTTTTTTGTTAGTTTAGTTTTGTTTTATTGTTCTTTTTTTTACATTTATTTTATTATTCAAAAAATATTATATATATATATTATTTTTTTAATATATTTTTATTTTCTTTATATTTTTTATTTCTCTTGCTATTTGATCAGACCAAATAGCAAAGAGAAATAAAAAATGCATATCAAACAAGAGCTCAAGTCTTAAGAGGTTAAAGATTACATTTCTCTGGATCTTCCTCAATGTTAGGCACATATTATCCCAGAATACTAGAATTTTTCCACACGTGTAAGATATGTTGGCGTGATTAGCATCCATGGTCCACACTGTCTCCAACATTGTTGTCGTGGTTGGAGTTTTGTTTGTTTGTTTGTTTGTTTTTAATATAGGGTGTAAATAAAAAATAAAAAATGTTTGAAAGTTATGTTGCCCACATAAAACACCAATCCTCCTCTCTTAGTTTGTTGTTTAATTCTTTTTAGGAGCAGAATACTCCATAAGAATCAACAGTGTTTATGTAATTGTTCTCACTGCCAGAAGAGAGAGACAAAAGTTAGACACTGCAGGTTCAAAGATTTTGAGCACACTACAGTTTGTCAAGTGAGTGTGACTTGTCACTAAAAAGGTTAGGAACTGCCTGCAAAAACAAGCAAACATCAGTATCTCACATCAGACAAAGTCCTTTGTTAAATGTAAATACTGACATTTTGAAGCTCAGTAAGTTCTGCAGTATTCTTAATCCTATGTCTTGTGCAGTAAAGCAACATTCACTTTATTTTATTACAAGTATTAGTATATATTGACGCCAGCATCGTGCTATTTTGGGACTAAAACAAATGCAGAACAGTCTATGAGTGCGACAAAAGAAGGTACATATCACTATGAAAACAGTAATAAGCGAAAAACAGTTTGCCAAGTAACTTAATGTTCTCTTCAGAATGTTAGAAAACTTTATTAGAAGTGCAGTAATATCAAAACATGTAGCCTTTTTCTACATTATGTTGTTTGGCTTAATTTGTATGTCTTGATAAGGTACAGAATTGTGCAGAAAACTCCATAATTTCTTGATTTCTGTGGGCCATAGCTCAGTCACTGACTGTAT